TTATGGGCTCATTCTGGACGCGAACAAATAGGCGTTGATAATAATCTTGTTTTGTATTTTTCAAATCAGTTGTTAGCTTATTTCTGTACTTTTTGTAGGCTGCTAAAAGATCTTGATCTCTGCTTTTAAGAAAATCATGGCATTTTTTATTTTTTTATTTAATCCGAGCGTATAACTCATTGGTCATCCAAGGTTTGCGCAATCTACCTTTTCTCTTGTTCGTCAGTTTAAGTGGGAAGGCAGTGTCATAACATTTTTGAAGTTTTTTCGAAAAGCTGGCGTACGCGATATTTGGGTCGTGTTCAACATACTCACTGTTCCAATCGATGGCAGTGATTAGGTCACGAAACTTTATCAGGAAATCTTCGTCTATTTTCCTGTAACTGTAACCGCTACGTTGAGTTTGCTTTTTTTTAAGGAATGGTGCAAAACAGAAAATAGGTAAATGGTCACTGAAGTCGTGTGTAAAAATGCCAGAAGATACCTGATGAGTGTTTAAATTAGTTATACACACGTCAAGACAAGTAGCGGTATCTGAGGTCACCCTGGTGGGCAGTGTTACCGTATTAATACATCCGAAGGTGCACAAGACATTTTGTAATTCCAACGCATGCTTTTCTTCTCTAAGTTAATCGATATTTATATCACCCATTATAAAAAATGGCTTAGCTGTTGAGCCAAGAAACCCAAGCAAGTCCTCGCAGTAAGATATAAACACAGATTTGTCTCCAGTCGGTGGTCTATAAACAACACAAACAATAACACTTCCGGCGTCAACAACAAGAGACTCGACGTCTTTCGAGATAGCGGAAAACTCGTCTAACACATGGCAAAAAATGTCTCATCTTAAATAAATCGCAACCCCGCCTCCCCTTTTATTTTTCCTGCCCAGGCTGGCGCATTTATAGCCACTGAAATGAGGGGGCTCAGATTTTTCAGGGATCCACGTTTCCGTACAAAGCAACGCATCAAAATTTATACATAATGATTCAAAAAACAAATTTAGATTGTCTTGTTTATTGTTTAGGCTCCTGGTAATTAAATGTACCAAGGAAGAATGTGAATTATAACTTTGATATATTTGATTGAAAAATGAATCGTCGTAGTATCTGCAATCTACTGGGAATGACACAGTCATTTTTGTCAAAACTTAGTTGGCCTCCGAGTTGTCCACAAATTGTCAAGGTCATCGTTGCACTTGATTTGAACAGCGCGTGCTCCTTCAGTTTTTCGGACAAGAATCTTTCCGTTTGTATGCCATACGTAAGCGTAGTTCTTCGCATTGGCGCGTTCTTTAGCTGCCCGAAGAAGCTCCCGATTACGCCGAGTCAGGTTCTCTTGGATGAACAATCGCGGGGCACTGTTCTTTAGCTTATTTTTTTTCATAAGCCATGCATCTCTAGTTTGTTGCCTTGCGAAATGAGTAATCACTCCGGGCACATTTTCTTGTCTAGCGGGTAGCCTATGAACCGATACAATATCGGACTCGGTGAGGGGAGGTACCTCTAGTTTGTTAGCAACCTCATTCAACGAAGTAATCAGATTCTCCTCTCGGTTTCCAGGAATTATTTCACAGCGAAGCTGTCTATGGCTAGATTCTGGCGGATCGTCTCCGGCGACAGACCGAGCGTTGAAACACAACGATGTACGCCCGACTTAATACTCCTCTCCACCCGAGTCGTGTATACTCCTCGCCACGCGCAGTGTCTCTCTTCTCCCTGACATTGCGCAATGCCGCGCGCTCTTCGGCGGCTACCTGTGCAGCGCAGCTAGAGCCTACGCCGTGATTGGCGTAGCCAATCACGGCGTAGGCTCTAGTGCGCTGCACAGGTGGCCGCCACTGCACATACTAAAACGTCTCTCCCCCCCCCCCCGACATTGCGCAATGACGCGCGCTCTTCGGCGGCCGCCTTTGCCAACACCTCCTAGACAGGTTTAAAGCCTGCTCGTTATGTCACATGACGTCACGTCCGGGAGGCCGGTACGGGCGCTGATTGGATGCGAGTGCCGCGTCAGCGTTCGCGTGGGACTTTGATAGGAAACGAGCCTTACGGCGATCGCTGACGCGGCACCCGCATCTAATCAGCGCCTGTGCCGGCCTCCCGGACGTGACGTCATGTGACGTAACACGCAGGCTTTGCTGTCTAGAAGGAGTTGCCTTTGCGGCGCACTAGAGCCTGCGCCATGATTGGCGTAGCCACGCTATCATAAAACGTCATTGTCCCTACCAAAGCGCCAGCTTCGCTGGACTTCACTCTATACGGGGTGGACGGGATCTCAACTTTTTATGCTACCACCGCGCCATTCCTACCCACTGACCAGAAGGTTTCTTCCGTCGAAAGATCGCTTTGTTTTCATATGTATCGCCAATTTTATGCTGCAGTGCAAGTAATTTATGGTGGTCCGCGTGCTGAACGACAAAAACGACCTCCTTTCGTCCGCCATTTCGCCTGACCAGCGCGCCCCTTATAGTTCGCTGGAGTCGCGAATACCTTGTTTAGGAACTAACGATACCCGATACTCCGTCGACGCTTTTACGGGCGCAGCATATCGTTATTTAAAATCGTTAACGGAGGTATTGGAACGCTCTACAAAAACTTTCTATTTTCGTTTAAAGGTTTAACGGGCGACATTGCAGAGAGTTCGTCCGTTGTCGCCGCCGCGCGAGCCAAGAGAGGAAAAACTTTTCTCTCCGCTTTCGGCGCGAGACCAGGGAAGTCGGGTTTTCCCGTCGGCCGCGCGGCGCGAAGGCAAAAGACAGGGGAGCCCCGGCATCCCGCCAGTAACGACGCGACAAAAGGGAAGTCTTCCGTGTCATCTGTTTGAAACAATTGTTTTCAAATATTACTCACGTTATGCGAAATCCCCCCTTGGCAGTATCCAGTTGCTACGCGTGATGTTGGATGGTTTTAGAAACTTCCACCGCGCTTACCCACTTCACAGATCACTGAGCACTGGCGGCGGTCGTGAGTGGCATCCCCGACGCGAAGCACGACGGCTGTGAGAATTGACCACGTCGCACCTCCGTCCTCAGATACATGAAGGCACCATTGCACCAGCATTGCGCGACCATGCTACAGCAATCGCTTTCGTTTCTTCGCAAATGTGGGCGAAAAATACGACTTTTTTTCTAGCCGAGCCTGTGACGTGAGCTAAAAATACTTCTTGCGGCTATTTTGACCGCCAGGAGATATATCCACATTCGCCAGTCAACCAGCCTGCAGGTTAGCAGTCGTGCTAGGTTAAATGGCTCATATATGTATACGGAAACGTCAGACACCATTTCGTGGAAGCACTCTCTTGACACGAACTTGACCTTTTGACCCATATTCTACCAACGCTGTTTTTCGCGGTTTATGCTTCCCTGTAAAACACGAAGTTAGTAGACACTTGAAGGAGGAACTTGAAAGGAAAAATCTTTAAAGTCTTAGAGTGGCAGCCGATCTTAAATTTAGCGAGCTTACAAACCGCTAAATTTAGCTAATTTAGCCAGTCCTGCGTCACTAGAAATAACGATAAAAAATGTTAATTATAGCAATAAATATGCTCTGTACTGTGTCTTTTTTCGTTACTTTGTTGTTGACATTTTGTTACTTTAATATATATAAAACAGCATTGTACATAACACGTTCTTTCCTTTCACCTGTACGTTTCCGTAAGAATAAATCGGCTTCCACGGGAAAAAATCCGCCCCAGCCACGGATTGGCTATATTGGCCTCCACAATTTCAGGTGAAATCCAATTTATTCTTAATTATATATTCGCAAATCTTCTTCACCCCCTTAGGGTTTCTTTCTAAAAACAAAAACAACTTATTACATTAACTTTGTGCTTTTGTTACTGGGAGAAATCGTATTTGCGGTTCCTGGAAATTAGTTCTTTCACGCCGTAACGATATTAAGGTACTCAAAATGAGAAGCTCGCGAGGGGACGCTGCTGTTTTCCTCACTATAGGTAGTGCACATGCTACCCACGCGTTTGTGTTTTTATTTTCATAGTGCGAGGAATCTTGGCATTGCAAGTGCTCACACCAGCAGAGGGAGTTGAGGTATCCCTACTCTGTGTTGCGAAAAAAATTACACCAGGCGGCGATACCCAAACTTCTCGCCGCGAATATTCACTGAACGCCATATTTGAGTGCGCTGTTCACTGCGTGTGTTCAAAGTGAGCTCACCCCTATGGGCTGCCAAAACCGGCAATCTTGGCGGTGTGGAATGCGCGCTGCGAAAGTGCAGAAGCTCGCTGTCAGTTCGCGTTCAACAGACGCGGACTCAATTCGCAACTTCCACAGCCTATAGGGGGCGCGCTAGTTTTTATAAAGATGATTGTCATGTGGATGATTGTCGTGGAACAATAGTACGAGATTGGGTATGCGACGCATAATTCTAAATGTGTAAAAAAACGAGCGATATAAGAGCCGTACCTGATTCTTCTACGTCAGGAAGGGGCAAGCAAAGAGCACCTTCATTCGGATGCTAATCATTCGGGAGCTATAGGGAGCGCCAGCCTCACACTGCGGTACCACCATCGCTGAAAGTTGCGAATACCCCAGGGTGTTTTCGTTGACATCATTACGTCCACCATTTTGTTGTTAGGAGCAGCCTGGCGCGTGCCAAAGGCCAGCGTTTGAAAGATTCATTTGGCACCGTCAAATACGTAGTGCACTCGGGAATATAGATTTCATCGTGGAACATGTAACAACTAAATGTGACGTCACCTGAAAACTATCCTATATCCCTTCCTGTAAGGGCCCTCTGGAGAATAGACTCCTTTCGAAAGTGTGCCTCTTTTGGAAGCTGTGGAATCCTTGTACGATGGCGGACACCAAGAACATCGCCAATGTTAAAATAAAAAAAAAAAAAAGAACTAATCACACTTTATTTTAGCTTATGCAGTTTTGGAATCACACATTCAGTCGTGTCGCTTGTCCTCCATTGTGCGATGGCACGTGACTTTCGAAAGGGGTCTATACAGCGGAACAATCCAAAACCCTCACCTACCTGTCATGGTGAGAACGCTGACATAGATGGAAATCTTCCTGCCCGCCAACATGGCGGTCGTAGCCTCTTGTCCAGCAACGGCGGAAGCAGGTCCCTTGCGACTGGCCTTGAGGCCCACTACAAGGACGACCAGGTAAAACGCTCCAATGACCAGCAGGCCGACGAAATTGACCACCATGGCCAAGACGAGACGCCTGTTGAGGAGTGACGTCGTAGGTGTAAGCGAGCCCCAGGATTCCTGGCTAGTTGGCGTGATCTTTTTAGGGAAATTCTATGCGGGTACTGCGGGCACACGTCGAATCTTCTACCTCGTGGCTCGCACCTCCCGTGGTAAGAACGGGTCGAGCCGTGGCGTGTCCACGAGCCTCATCGTTCTCGTGGCGATGCAATTATTGCTGCTCTTCATCGTTTTCACACGACACTGACGTCAGAGCCGCCACTGCAGTGTGGTACAGTGTGGTAGCCCAGCTGCTGAGCGTGTACCTTCCGAAGAGTCTGCATTTAGCACCACCGAATTTGTTTTTGTCAGCAGGAACAAAGTATGCCGCCTGGATTTAGCGTTGATGCGGTTGTAGTGCGTCCATTAACTTCCATGTAAATACTGCCCATCAAAGACAGCAAAATACCGATGCCGGCCAGTTATTGAACTTCCATGTAAATACTGGCCATCAAAGACAGCAAAATACCGGTGCCGGCCAGTTACTGAACTTCCGTAAATACCGGCCATCAAAGACAGCAAAATACCGATGCCGGCCAGTTACTGGAACCTCAATGAAAAGACTAGCCAGCAAAGACAGCAAAAACCCGATGCCGGCCAGTCACTGTAACGGCTGGACTGGCCAATGAGCAAGACGAAACCCCGACGCCGGCCGGGGCCGGTAGCTCCCCGGTGCCCATGGCCAGGCGCTGCCATCCTGTTACCATGCGGAGTCCCGATGTCCCGATACCGGCTGACGCGGAGTGGTATTTGCATCTACATGTTGAATGGCACCATATAGTGCCATATACAGGAGTATCAGGCATCCTATACTGTTATATATGGCAGCCACTGGCGCCAAATATGACTTTATCTGGCATTATATGTCGTCATATATATTGTCACCTTACCATATCTGCCCTGATTTCAGCCCTTATATGGCAATATATGACCGTATATGTCTACTTATATGCCCATATACGGCCCTATATTAAACATATCTGGGCCATGTATGACATTTCTGTAAGGGTTCTTACGATGCATCGGTGTGAAATGCCCGTCGTCGTGTTGGCCGTCAAGCAGATAGGGGCCTGTAACAGGTGCTGTGACGGTTCGCGTGGAAAGTCTTAGGCGCTACACAAGCAGCAAAATCGTCATAAGTGTCGTCTTCCATGGCGGAAGAGAGGAGCTGGCGGAACAGGTCCCAGTATAGTCACTTTGTAAACCTGAGACCTTGGGGTTCTTTTGAGGCATATGTTGGGGGATGTGTTACTTTGGTAGGCACATGATTACTACCTTCAGTATCTGGTTGGACTGTCCGGCAACAGAGCAAGAATTTGTGACCATACCCAGGTTAAAATCTCCACAGATAATAATCTCTCTACGGCTTCGTTTTTCAAATTTCTTCTAACACCTAAGAACCCGAGGCACCGTGCGGCGCAATGATACGCGTGAACAATCGTTGTGTCATACCGGCCGATTCTGGTTATTACTCCGGCATATTCCTCTATGTCGGAAGCAGAATTGGGCAGTATCGCGATGTATCGCGATATTATTTTAGAAATGCACTTTAAATATATATTTATGTATCGCGATACAGTTTTTTTTATCGTATGTTTTTCTGTACTGACATACATTTTTGGGTGTATTCCTGGTATCACGACACAATCAGGAGCTTATGTTTTTCATTGCATTTCTTCAAGAACTCGTATATTTATTTCGGGCGCGAAAACTTGAATGTTGAAATTATACAGTGAGTACTCGTTTGTTGGAAAAAAAATATTGCACAATTCATGTAGCATGTTTCCAGGTCAGATCGTACAATGACTGTCTGGGACATATTTTTAATATTTCTTTAATAGATATATGTGAAAGCCTCGTTCTTAAGGGGAACATTCAGCTATATGGTAACGCCGTAGCAATTTTTTTCTCAGATATATAAAATTGAGAAGCTTGGGACGTGGACAGTGCCGAGATTTCACTATGGTAACTTGCACAGACGCCAATGCCACACCAAAGCAGGCGTATTAAAAAAAAATAATAAACAATAAACATATTTATATACAGGGTGTTTCAGAGAACGAGGCGAAATCGCTCCTGCGAAAACTAAGCATCGCACAGAAAAAAAGGTTGATGCCGTGTTGGTATCTGCCCAAGAGCATATCTAGAAATAAATAATAACGTTTGTAAAAAAATAGTTTTTGTTTTGTTTCTTAAAAAGTAACTTTTTATTTGTTCATTTTAAGGCCATAGTTTCAATTAGAAGCTTACTCGGCATCATCAATAACCCCTGGCCTATATCTAACCTTTTTAGACAAATATAAAGCATGCCGAGCATTTTCCCACGTTTTGAAATCCCCTTAAAGGGGCGGTGCAACGATATTCAATTGGAATGTTTTTCATTTTACACGAGCTTACTGGCATTAGTGGGACTCAAGGATATTTGCACACAACGCCACTGGCCGAGAAACTCCTTTGTTGCGCTGTAATATCAAGGACCAAGGCGAGCGTTTTCATTCAATCTCTCCTTCACAAAACTTGATGACGTAGCTCGGCGGTCGGAGTACCGCCGCGTGACGATATTTGAATGCGGCTCATAGATTGGATCCGAGCACTGCGTGAACACTCGACTTGGGCTCGTGATAATCGATAGCTCGAGAAGCATTCGGGTAGTGGCCCCTGTCCAATTGCTGCAGAGACGACCATAGCCGAAACATAACAATGTCTGGAACTCAGCGCGTGTCCTGTGCCTTGCCAACCCCAGCGCGTGGCCATGATCAACATTGGCGGCATATAATCGGCTCCAGATCACGTGGCCGCTTGTTCTGGCTGCGAGTTGAGAAGGTGAACGCTGCTCGTTTTTATTTAATTTTTTCTGCGACTTGGATTGCGTGTGGTGAAATACGAACGGGTGTTTCACAGGTCATTAAAGCCAGGAATCCGTTATAAGCGGTATTCGCGCAAAGTACAAGAATCGCTGCATCGCCCCTTTAAATTCCGACGCGTACTCTGGTTTCGGATCCAAGCGCATCTTGGCGGCAGCTGTCCTGCCCTCCGACGGCCGAAGTGCAGAACCAAGGCCAGACAATGGACTGTTTCCAAAACCGACGCGCCCCAATGCGGCGAAATACGACGCAGTGCACTCTGGGAACTAGTTGGCCACTCAGTTTCGGTTTCGACTGAGCAGATTCATCTCATGCTGTCACGCCGCGACCGGACGCGCTGCTTGCGTTTTCGATTATCTGACTTTATCTGACTGAAGGCCGGGGCACTTTCCTTGGTTCCCGAAACACCGGATATTATGAGTGCGTATGCAAACGTAGTAAGACGTGGCTTAGTCACCTCATCTTTGAGTCCAATTTCAATAACCCCGTCTAGTACCAGTGAACTACAAGTGAAATTCGGTCACCTGGAGCATTACACGTATTTTGTTTGCCAAATGTCCGCTTCTTGTTACTTCATTGGGCGAAAAGCAAGCCGCATCCTCACAGGAGTATCAAAGTTGAGCCCAGCGTTGACGCATGCACTTTTAAGGAAACGCAATAAATTCGACCTCACTATTGCACCAAAGTTACTATGATGTCCTCGTGTCATCATATATCCCCCAGTGATATTTTATGCTGATAGAAGATTAAGTTTTCGCAACCGCTGAGCCTCGGCTAGCTACGACGGAGGCCTTAACAAGCGTCCCATACTCCTCGCTAAGCCTTTTTGGACGAGGTTTTACTGACGCCGAAGATCTGTGCCTGAACGGTGTGTCTGAAATTATCTCGGCATACTCAGGCAGGAAGAAAGCAAACACATAACACATATTATGGACATTAGCAACCGTCAAATGCACTTTGAATAATTTCGTTTGTTTGGCGCACCGCATAGGGGTTCATGCCCGTCCGGCGTACTTCTGGCGAATAATGCGACATTTTTCACACAAGTGCTCGACTTTTGCTTTCTTAAAACGGTTTGTATGCGCGAATGTGCCTATACGATTGCAGGATAACTTTACGCGCATACGCGATGTTGAATATATTAGTAAAATGCAAATGGGTGGGAAAAGCTTCGCTTCGTGCAGTGCTGCGGGTCAGTACAGATAAGAGATAAGAAGTGTGTTATAATTCAATGGCACCTCCGAGTTTTACCACGCGTACACAGGCGTATTAAGAAAATCGATAATTGCAAAAAGTAATATTTTGTCTATGGACGCAGGAAACAAACTTCCTGATCAACATCACTAATGTAAAGGCGCGAGCTCGATGTATGCATACTTATTGGTGTCTACAGCTTGTTGATTCGTACACAAGCAAGATTCCCGAGCTCCCACTCCCAGCACTCCCAGCACTGGCTCGTCCACATACCTCGAAATGCTAACAGAATGGCTAAATACAAAAATACAACAAGCATGTCTTAAGACAAGCTATACGTCTCGGGCTTGTGCTAAAGCTTCGAGGTCTGACCATCTAGGTTAGTTTAGAGACCACCAATGACGCTCTCGGGGCCAGAAAACATGAGATAACGGCCGTTAATAGTCCATGCTCGGTGTGTAATCTCTTGTCGTCGTGTCGATCGAAACCGAAACCATGGCACTCCCCTCCCTGGCCAACTAGTTCCCAGAGTGCAATGCGCGCCGTGTTGCATGCAGGGCTTTATGGAAGTAGTCTATTCGCCAAGCTCGCCCTCCCGCCCGCCCGCCTCCATTCCCTCTTTCGTACAAAACAAAGTGTAGCGCGCGCGCATGGCCAGGCGATGAGGAACGCCTCGCTGTTCCAAAGAGCATGACATTGCAAGATTGAGCTTTGACTTTTTGGCTGGCCTTGGTTCTGCGCTTAAGCCGTCGAAGGGCTGGACAGCCGCCGTCAAGAAGCCCTTGGATAAGAATCCGAAACCAGAGTACGCGTTCAAATTGAAGGGTTTTTCAAAACATGGTAAAATTCTCGGCATGCTTTATACTTGTCTAAAAGTG